AAAATCTCTCTGTATCTTTTGGATTAACAAAATACATTCGAGAGATAACTTTTGCACCACCTTTTTTTCTTCTTTGCCAATTATTGGTACTTTTATTTCAAGTAAAGTGTTTTGGAACATTACAATATTTCAAATTTTCAAAGAATTCATCATTAGGATTATTAGCACAAAGTTCAAAATATCTTGTCAACTTTGCATGCTTTCCTTTTTCAAGAGCTGATGATATTGATTGAGATAGTTAAAAGGTTACAAATTGTTTTTCAGGTAAATGAGCAAGAAGCCTTTCAACTGTATGTAACCTTTTATGTAAACCAAAATTAAATAATCTCCAAATTTCTTTGGAAGCAGAAACATATTTTGCATTCAAATAATTTCTAATTTCATTATTTGGATTATGATGATTTTTTACTACAAATATTAAAACCCTATCCTGTCCCTTATAAACATATTTGTAAAGATATTTAACTGATCTAACACTTGAACATATCTCTACATTAAGATGACAATTATATTTTTAACTTAAGTATGAATTATAAGGAACAATCCATCTATTGTCAATAGGAATTTTTATTCCTTTTTTGCAAATTTTTCTTGAATTTATTCTTCTTCTATATACAGGATATCTGGTTTTATTTGTTGTTGTTTCTGCAGTAAGATCTCTTGAAAAAATATTTACTGCATTTTCCATTAATCATGCATGGAGAATCTGTATTAACTTCTCCACAGGGTTCATGAACCATGCAATTGCTAATTATATTATATAACTTTGGTTGTGTAACTGGATCTGGTATCTTAACAGATATAATTTGATCGTAATTTTCAGGAGTTTGTGATTTATCTTCAGATGCTAATATAAGTAATATATAAGCATGTGGCAACCCTCTTTTTTGAAACTCAACTATATATATATATGCAATAACTTTTCCCAATACACCATTTACAACTAAATCATTAATTATTGCATCTAATTTTAATTTGAAAACCCTTGTTTCCAAATCTGGCCTATTGGCAGATTTTTGTTTTGGTAAAAGTTCAGATGTAATCTCAGGCCATTTTGGATTACATGTCACTGTTATAAACAGATCAGGTTTTCCAAATTCTCTAACAATTGCCATAGAATCTTGGTACAATTGTTGTAAATATCTTGTAGACCCAGTAAAGCTTGATGACAAAATTATCTTTTTGCCAACTTCATCAAGATTGGCATCTTCATTAGAAATCATATCTTGCAATCCTTGATAGATTGCTGATCTTAAATCCTTTTGATTTTTGTAATGCCAACTTAAATTATTTGTTTCCCACTTTATATACTGGTCCACTATATATTGTTGAAACAATCTGCCTGAAAGATGCAGAATACTATTATTTTTGTTGTAGTTTTTAATTATAAACCTATAAGCTGCAAACTCCCTAATAGTTACTGTTTTTCTTTTTTTTTTTTTTGGGTTTAGTTGAATTTTTGATGGTCTCTCTATATCACTATCATCATCATCATCATTATCATCATCACTATTATCATCTTTATCACTATCATCATCTTTATCATTATCAGATAGTCTTTCCGATTCAGAGATTCTATCTTTATCAAATTCAACTTTTTTGCTTTTAGATACCAATTTTTTTTATTACAGGATTATAAAGATCATTATCATCTTCTGCTTGAGCTTGAACTTCTTCTGTTTCTTCTCTAGCTCTTTTTTTTCCCTTTTTTACAGAAGATCTACTTTCTAAATATTCTTTATTATCTGCATCAATATTTTCATCATCAAGACTCACCATACTTGATGAACTTCTAATAGTTGCAGATTCCAAAACACTTGTTAATCCTGTTTCACTTTGTAATTCTCTTTCTAATAAAGTATCAAAGTTAATATTAGAGATATCACTTGCTCCAGCTTCAGCTTCAGAAGTTTTAGAGGCTTTAGAGTTTTGAGCTATTTTTTTTTAAGAGCTCTTTTTTCTTTTCTTCAATTTCTTTTGCATGGGTCTTCATTTTTTGTTTAGTCTAGTACAAATAATCTGGTTCATCATAATCATCATCATCATTATCATCATCATTATCTGATTCAATTTCATTCCTTTTTAATATTCCTTTATGCCAACCATATTCTCACGTAGGAATAGCATAGGATATGCTAAAGGATCATATTCACCATGTAATTCAGATATTCTTTCTAATTTATCATCATGTCTTACAATAAGAATATCTCTTACATGAATAGTTTCATCAGAAAAACAAATTGCAGCTACTTCTTTAGCCGATAGTGCATTATATTGTCTCATATCTTTGCCATGCTTATTATGTATTAAAATATAATATAGAGAATCTTGTAAATCCTTATTTCCTGTAGATATATAAGTATCTACAAAAGAATTTTAATCCATTAATACATTTTGGATAATATTTATCATATCCCTGTTTAATAATTGCTTCATTACATCATGTTTTCTATCAATTTGTGCTTCAATATCTGAAGAATTATGAAAATATATTTGGGAAAATTTTGGTATTTCCTCTTGTTTTACCAAAGCTGAGTTAATTTGATGATGATAATCACCCTGAATTCTATAGCAATATGCCCCTTTTTTTCATTGGCAACATCCAAATCTAAATTAGTAGCAATTGATATAAAAGCAAATGCTTGATTATATGCTCTTATTTTGTCAACAAATGGTACTTTAGATATTGGATCTTTTTCTATAAGCAAATAAAGAATTTCTGGTAGTGGTGCTTGAAGTGGTGCTAATACAACTTCACTATTCATGCAACAAAGTCCTGGTTTTCCCCCTCTCCCATATTAACGCCCCACAATGTTCACATTCAATGTCCATTTTCCCCGCACTATGCCCCCCATTGTTCTTATTATCATCTCCATCATCATCGTCATTATCGTCATCATCATCATCATCATCACTATCATTTCCACTATCATCTCCACCATTATCCCCATTATTATCTCTATTATTATCTTCATAATCATCTCCATTATCATTTCTACTATTATCTTCGACCTCCTCCTGATATTCATCTAAACTACAATATCCTATTTTATAAAATTGTTTAAATTGTTCTAAAGAAGGAGAGAGAATTGTATTAAATAAACAAGAAAGTTGTATAGGAAGTAGTTTTTTAAATTGAATAAGTTTGATAAAGCTTTCTATTTTGTTAAATATTCTTTCAATGGTTGGTTTATTAGACCCTGTTCTATTATAAAATATACCCAAGTATCTTATAATTTCTTCAGGTTTTCTTGGTATAATAGTTGTATTATCAAATAAGATGAAGTTTGTGGAGGTTGTTTGGTTGTGTAATAAATTGTTATTAGAGGTTTGGGTATTTGTTTTAGATTTAATATGAAGTAAATCTGATTTAGTTGGGTTGACTTGAATATTATTAAGCTTGTAAAGTTTTAATACATCATCAAGTAGGTTTTGTAGAGAGCTTTTGCCTTTACAAAGCCAAACTGTATCATTTATATAGGCAAGTAGAGGAATTGTAATAGATGGTATTTGGATTTGAAATATTTAGTCATGTGGAGATATGCTTTTAATTTGGAGAAAAGATTATTGATGTTTGGTATTTATATAGAAAAGAATTGGATCATAGTATATTTTCCACAAAAGTGGAGAGTATGTTTCTTCTTGTTCTATTCCTGTATTAAGTGTAATAAAATCTGTAAGGCCATATGTTGTAATAATTCTTGCTTTGTGATTGGTATGTAAATTAGTAATAAAGTTTATAGCATTTTGTGGAATGCCTATTCTTCTACATGCATCACTTAATCGAGAAATATTTATTTTGTCAAAGGCTTTTGACATATCTTGAAATTGAATCCATGCTTCTTTATTATTAAGTTTGTAGTATTCAATAGTATTGTGTAGGATTTGTATTGGTATATGAGGTTTTAGGAGTTGCAGCAAAGTTTAAATTGCTAGTAAGATTGTTTGTATTAATAATATTGTCAAGTCATTTTGTGAAGATTTTGGTAAGATATTTTTTAAAAGGTTCAATAAGTAAAATAGGTTGGACTTGCTCTAATGTAAAGTCTCATTTGTTCTTTTTTGGTATTAAAAAGATATTAGAGGTTTTCTAGTCAGTTGGGACTGTTTGGAGATATAGACATTTGGAGAGAAAAGAACGTAGAATGTCTTGGCTAAGTAGTAAGGTGTGTTTAATATATTTATAGCTAATACCTGAAGCTTTTTGATTAGGTAATTGATTAATTGTTATTTGCTATTTATTTTGTGTGATTTCTGTAAAAATGTTATTATAGAGATATTCATGCTTAGGGTATGGCTAGTATAAGGTATAAAATTTCAAGTCAGAAGTTATATCTGGATGGTTGATCTTAAAAATAGTTTGGAAGTATTGTTGAGTAGCAAATTTGATTTCTTCAGGGTTTGTAAGTAAGGAATTGTTAAGTAGAAGTCTGTTTAGTAACACATTGCTACTAAATCTTTCTAAGACTTTTTTGTAAAATAATTTAGAGTTTTGAATAAAATTAGTATTATGTTTCTGTAATTTGTGTTTAATTTCAAACACAGGTCGAAATATAAAAAATCAGGCACAAATCAGGTACCCGATTTTAAACTGATTACTACCTGATTACTACCTGATTTATGCATATTTTTGTACCAAATTTTTGGTACAAAAATATGCATAAATCAGGTGCCAATCAGGTAGTAATCAGTTTAAAATCAGGTACCTGATTTGTGCCTGATTTTTCATCTTTTGACCTGTGTACCTCATCAAACTATCAGAATGTCCAGCTATTTCTAGCATAGCATTAGTAATATTGCGACAACTATATAATCAAATTTAACTGGAATTGTTCACTTTAATTCTATATGTTTATAGAATAAAAAATAAACAAATTTTATTAAATTTAGTTTGGTTGTTTTCATGATATTGCTAGTGCTCTATTTTAGATATTATAAATAGTTGAATACTCTACAAACTACAATATATGTACTCTGATCAATTACCTTATACTAGGTGGTGAAAAGTCTCTATATGGATCTTTTTTTTTTTTAATCACTAAAATAGTAATCATTGCAATATTATATATAATTTGTATTTAAAATTAAGTACTATAAATTTTAGCAGAGATAGTAAAAAAAGGATCTGTATAAAGACTTTTCATCTACCTAGTATATACTTGCTTAGATAGTTGTTCACTGGAACTGTCTAGTGGGAATCACTGGAACTTGAATGTTACTAGACCTAATTAGATGGAATTGAAAGTATAATAGCTACTAGTGGTTTAATGTTACTAGACCTTTTCAGTAAAAATTTTTCATTTAATAGATAGAAGTTCTAATAACATCCAATGATATCTAGTACTCATCTAGTAGCTTTTAATAAACTTAAATCCTGGCATTCGATACTAGTATTTACTAAAACAATCTAAAGATTTTTATTACAGGTTTTCCCTTATATTCATATATATTTTAGCAATGTAATTAGGAATTTTGCATTTATTATGTAAAACTCATCTATGTTTTCTTAAACCTAGCAAATTATTTTTGTTTTGCTTAGTAATTTATTTTTGGCTCTCTGTATTCGGTTGCTTGATATGTTGCACAAATACTTCATAAAAATTTTCCAATAGAGTTTTTAGAATTAATGATCAGATATTTGAATTTCAAAACAAGCAATTTACAAATTATATTTTATTTTTTAAATATATACTTATAATCATTTACTGGTAGTAGATATTTATTAAAAAAGCTAATCTATAAATTATATTTTATTTTTTAAAATATATACTTATAATCATTTACTGGTAGTAGATATTTATTTAAAAAGCTAATTTATTACTGGATATATCTACAGTGTTAATTTTCTAATTCAGAATTTTAAAACAGAAAGTAAGACTTTTTTTAACTACTCTAATATTGCAAGTTTGCGTTTCTGAATTTATCTACCTTGCTTAAATATATGAAGTTCTTCTATCATACCGATTTGAAAAATTTAAAAATATTAATTAAACATTAAAGATTATGCTAAAAGTTTGGATTTCTTAGTATATTTACACTCATCATAACGATTTCTATCTATCTTCATAAAATTATATTCTTGCAAATCCGTAAGCATTAAAGAAAAAAATATATATTATGCTGAAAAAAAATACTGCAATAAGACTAAAGATTTGAACTAGTTTTATTTTTAACATATGGGGGGAGTCAATAGAAAAGGGACAAATCATTTTTAGTAAAATTTTTTTAATTTTAAATTAAAATATCTCAACAACTCATTAATCAAATTTGCTAAAAATTTTTTTATTTTAAACTTGAAATTATATAGAATTAAAATAAAAAAAAATTTATTAAATTTGATAAGATAGTTGTCAAGATATTTAAACCTAAAGTCAAGAAAACTTTTACTTAGAAAAAATTTGTCTCTTTTCTATTAATTCACCCCCATATGAGAAATAAAACCTGTTCTGATCTTTACAATGAAAAACTAACTTTAACAAGACTAAAGTGAGAGCCTTTTATCAATCGACTTCTCAGATAGAGAAGTTAAATAGTCCACAGAGAACTAGTTCGGACTAGGTTTGAACCAGACTTTTTAGGGACTAGTAAAACTAGTTCAGAACAGGTCCAAAACTAGTTTAAATCTCACATGATATGAATAAAGTGTTCTTTTTGACACATTAAAAAAATTTAATAAATATGAAATCAAGAATGACATTCTTTAAATAATTTTAAATAGTAGCACTATAATAGTAATTCACATGTTCTAATTTAAAATTCATTAATTGGGTGATCAATAAGGAGTACTTTTGATTGGAAAATTAAATTAGTTAAATACTGATGGCTTTTATTACAGCTTTCTGCTTTCAATCAATAATGGCCTGGTAATGGCCTAGTAATTATAACAGCATTAGTAAGTGCTGATGGCTTTTATTACAGTTTTCTTTTGCTTTTTGATCAATAATCGCTGTAATATTACAATATTAATAAGCCCCAATGGCTTTTATTATGTTTCTTTTTGATCAATAATCTTATATTATCTAGCAGCTTACTATAATAGTGCTTGCCAAATAACTCGAGTTATTTGGCAGTGATTATGTTATCTGCTAAATAACTTTGTTATTTGGCAGCTTAAATAATCACTACCAAAAACTTGAGTCATTTGGCAAGCACAATCATTGTAAATCACTAAATAATACCATTATTGTATACTACACAGCTATTAACTTGTTTATCTGGCTGTGAATTTAATATGTGTCATTTCTGGGCCCCTTTGGGGTCCAGAAGCTAATATATCAAATTCACAGGCAGTTAATGAATTATTTTACAAATAATTCTTATTATTGGTTGCTTCGTATTCAATAACTATATAGTATTGGTAAATACTGATGCTTTAGTTTTTTTTATTTTTTGATCAATAATTGGCATAATTACATCAAGTTAAGTTTTTAGATCAATTATAATCAATTCATGATAGTGTTGAAGTTGAAATTCAAAAGAATGAATATAAAAACATTTATTTATTATTAAAAATTTGAACATATAATATTGGAACTATCATTTATTTAATTGGTTGAATTATTACATCAGGCTATAATGATATTAGTCTAAATTCCTCTCATGACAATTATTTTCTACCATGTACTCTTAATTTACAATTTTTTTTATTACAAATATTCCAATAAGTTCATAAAACAATCAAACCCAAAAATCTTCTCTTTGTGTTGTCTATGCATGATGTATATATTACTGATTCTGGGCTTTCAAAAAAAGTAAAAGATAGAAAAGTTTATAGAATTCTACTATATATAGTATCTGAGGTTTTGATAGGTTAGCTATATAAAACAATTGCATCAACTCTTTGTTTTGATAATTGTTTTATATTTTTTTTTCTTTTTTGTAAGTATAAATGAAAATTTGTTTTCTCAAAATTTTATTAGTCACATCATGTTTTTTATTAAATGCTTACAAAATTTTGTATCTATTTCTAATACACCTTGTCTTGACATTAATGTTGTTGTGTTGAGTAATAATTTTAGTGGTGTAATCAATACCGAATGAATAGAAGAACAATTCTCCAAGCGTGGTAAAAATATACACTTCATCTGGAGTTATTCTACATAAAATATTTATTATTTGTAGCCTGTGCTCTAAAACACAATATAGTATTACTACTGGTATTAGTACAATTAAATGGCATTTCAAAGCCAATCACAAATCTGAATACAATCAATTGCTCCAGGTATCACCTTTATGAGCTGTTGATTAATATAGTGTTTGCAATGAAAAAAATTAAATAGGTTTCTGATATGTTGAATAATTTGCAACCAATAGCCTTTTTGCATTGTTGAAGATAAAGATCTTTGAATATTTGTTTTTGAACTTGATCTCACTATAGATTTTCTTGTAGACAAATGATCTTAGTCTATGTTTGGCAGCTGTATAAAAGAGAACATAGACAGCTATATAATTTTTTTAAAAGTTTTGGATACAAGGTGTTAATTACAACTAATGCATGGTTCTCATGTACAAATCAAGGATTTTTTGCAATCACCTTATATTGGATTGATGATAAATGGCAATTGTGTTATAGGACTTTGCCCCCTCCACAAACTCCATATAGGTATTTTTTTAGTTGATATAATTTTTAAAATAATCAAGGATTTTGGTTTAGAAAAAAAATTTGTCAATGATTGCTAACAATACAAGCAACATAGATATCTGTGGTGAAAACCTTGCTAGTATATTAAAATATAACTATAATAATACTACTTTTTGCTAATTATATCGTGCTACTTATATACTTAACTTTGCTATTGTTAATAATTAATAAATTAACTAAAAAGACACAAAATTTTGCGAGTTGTATTCGCTACTTCCAACCCTGCCTAAAAGAGTTAAAAAAATTTTTGCAATAAAAAGTCAACCATTTTTAATACCTGGAACTGATTGTGAACCCAGGTAAAATTCACTATACTTAATATTAAAAAATTATGTAAAATAAAAGAAATAATAGATATATTAGTGGTTTCAATGATATCTTAAAAAACAATATATAAATAGACAAGATTAAGTTAATATTAATGTTATAATAACACTATTAAAACCTATTTATAAAGCTACTAAACTACTTTTCTCTTCTACTCACTTGACAATCTAAGACATGTATATAGTTTTTTTGTATATCTTACTAGTGCTCTCCAATAAGCCAGCTCGATAAGCCTTGCTAAAAATTGCTATTAGCTTATTAAGGCTTATTTAGTTTTTATACTATATAATATAAAAAAATATCATTTATTTGTATAGTTTATATTATAAACTATACAAATAAGTGATATTTTTATATATTATAGAGTATAAAAACTAAATAAGCCTTAATGAGCCAATAGCAATTTTTAGCAAGGCTCATTGGAAAGCACTACATTTTACTGAAGCTAAAAATAAAAAATATTCAATAAGTTTGTATATATCTGAAAAAATACTCAAAAAACTTAATAAATACTAGGATGAATTACAATTCTTTTTTCTAGAAGCAGTATTGCTTAATTCATCATCTAAATTTTCAACTTATTGCTTTAGCTCTGAAATAAATAATTTTTATCAAATAATTAATAAAACTTATAAAAGTTATGCTTCTCTTGATAAAAAACAACTATGCAGGTTCTAGAATTGAATCAGTTTAGTTCTTTTTGTAATTACTTTTGAATTAGTTAAAATAATCTCATAGTGATATGTCAATTAGCTGTAATGTGTTAGACAAATATTTGAATATACCTAATGAAAAGTAGATATACTTGCATTCTGGAAGTTTAAATTTTTAAATATAAAGTAGGCACCTTTTGTTAAAATAGCCCAGAATTACCTTGTTGCTCAGACAACCAGTGTTCTAAGCAAACAGACTTTCTCTCTTGCAAAACACACAATAAGTATATTGCGAAACTGAATAGATGATAATAAGGTTTATACAAGTTTGTGTTTAAAAACATGGTATAATGGGGTTAGGGTCCTGTAGCCTAGTGGTCTAGGCGCCTAACCTTCTACAGATGAGGTCGATGGTTCAATTATAGCTGGTGGTAATTAATTTAATTAATTATCTCTGTAATCTTCGGGGGCTTTTGAATGCAAAACCCTG